TATATATATATATAAAAAAATATATATATATATATATATATATATTTTTTTTTTTTTCATTCCAAGACGCTAATTATTTTAAGCTACTAATGTCGGTGAGCAACCCATAAATTAATCTATAGTGGACACCATAGCTAGATGGTTTCTGCAACTGCAATAATAGTAATATTAATAATAATGATCAAGACGGCGTTTTCAACTCTGAACATGAAATGTAGCCAACAAAAGGATAGAAAAGGCTAGTGAAACGGTACCTCTTGGATACACTGTATGGTTGACGATATCAGCAAAACCATAAACGATATGTGTACATAAGCTTCCATTTATGTCTTCAGGCATCAGCCCGCCTTTATCATCGTGGACATAGTAGCAAAATTTCACCGGTGCCGTTCCAATGAAGTCCACAGCTTTTGCTAAAAAGATTACCCACATTAGACAAGATGTTGAAATCAATCGTAGCATTCGTTTGCAAAACTCCGTAGGCACTAGCATTTTCTTTCAACACTATGGAAGAGTTCGAAATGCTTAACATGGACGCCATTTTTTGAATATCTTACCTGGTGTTTTCAACTTGTTACTATTTTCACTTACCGTGTCCTTAAACTATTACCTTCTTTATGTATAGCATATTTTTATGTATACGCATCTACATTTATATAATCCTATAAAGGCATCTGATTCAGGCCACAGATTTCTGGTTTTTGCTCTTTACTGCTATGATACATCGTTAGTTATAAAAAAAAATTTAGACGCTGTACAATCAGCGTCTAAAAATTTTGATCTTTTCCCTACAGCTTCATATCAACTACGATGTAAACTACAAACTAATATACACTTGCACCGCAATTTAATCTTGCGCTCCTAATGCGCTGTTCTTAATGATGGTAGTTGACGATCACTATTCAACTCACATCACAAAAAAAGTACCTGAGTACGTCCTAACCATTCACTTAGAATAAAGACGGCTACACGCTTGCGGTGAAAACATTTGTACATTATTATGACCCGTTTACTTCTAACTCATTTTACTTATAATCTTTCAAATTAGAGTATCCAATTTGGAAATATTTCAGGTGCATTTTGTTAACTTTTGTCGAAAAATTTAGCCCTTCCTTAAAGGTTAGTAGCGCCGCAACGTCGAAAAAGTACGAAGTACATTGTGCACCTATAGGTTAATGGAGAACGAGGGTACAACAAAACTCCTCGTGGCGGTGTTATTTGTTATAGTAATTCAACAGTTACTTACCGAATATAAGAAGGACGATAAGAAGGTGCATCATTCGCTTTATAAGCTGTTCTAGTGAACTACAGAAAACCAATTCTGTTGAAGTGTCATCACATAGATTATGAATAAAGGTACATATTTGAATTCACACGTGACAGCACAGACACAGATAGACTTATAGATCACATTAGCTGTACATATCAAATGAAAATGAAGGTACGGTATGAAACATCATCGATGTTCAGTCATACAAAGTATGACTCTATAGCTAACAATATAGACTGAGCACCCAACCTAAGTTGATGTATAATGATGCGGCTAGTTAATAAATTGTAGTTAAGGTAGCTGTACCTCCTGACAGTTCTATACTAACAGACGTGCAAACATTAGCGTGATATCCAAAGACAAAAGATAATTTCGATTGCAGGCAGGCGCAATGAGTCACATTGAGCCGACGGACTGCAATGAATAATGGGCCCTAACTGTGTTGATTGAGTTACTTTTTTCACTTTTTAGGTTAAAAGAGCGCTCTCGCAAGAGCCGTAGTGTGAGTCAATAGAGCGAGGCTTGACAAGCGTATATCTCCATAGGAGTGAATAACTCAGCTCAAGAAGGATCCACTGTTAACGGAGTAGCGTGAAATGCCAAACATGGCTCTGTTAGCAGCCATAACAAGCAAGACGCAATTCTCTCCGTCAAGGCGAGGATCGACTTTCGGAGAATGGATCAAAAATTATTACTTTCTCTTGAGGTCAATTTGAGATAATGTATCTGTGCGCATACGTTAAAAGTGATTACTTTGTCCCTGGCATGAGATAGCGATCGACTTAGACTTTAAAAAAGATGCGCTTTGAATTCAAACAACTATATTTTTTATTATACCCGAAACTATTAGAATATTGCAATTTTCTCATCTGATATGAATATGCTTCAAGTCAAGAGCCACCTATGTGTTTGGCATGATACCTCTAATCTAGGTGATTAGGTGTACATAAAAAGCGCCTCAATAAAACATAATTTCGCGAGTTTATTTCCTGTAGTTGTCACCGTTACCATTAACAAAGTCAACAAACCTATAGCCTAGCTTACAGCTAAATGGGACAGTTTAGCTTAATTCACTTTAATTCTATCATTTTGAACCATGCTGCTTTCAATGGCAGAGCTCAGCTGCAGGAAAAACTATGTTGTAGGTCTTTCTATTCCTCCCTAGTATTCTCTCTATTTGGTTGAAACATTATCCTGTAAATATGTATGAGTCTGTGCATCCATAGATAAATTTACGTTCTCGTTTGGTTTCGGGTACCACATGCCTCCAACCCAGGGCAAGTCATAGTCGAATATTTGGCTGCAGCAACAAAAAAATGACAGTTTATCTTCCGTTTTTGATCAACGACCCTCATTCGTAACGGAACAACACTTGGCCGTTGCGGCAGGAGCGGATACGGACAAAAGCGGGCAAACAGCGGGGAACGTATGAACACGTGCCGTATTCTTTTCTTGCGTGTTGGTGCCGTTGGTGCCTGCACGAGCGAGACCGCAGGCATATGGAAACAGAAGGAAACGGCCGACGTTCTTTTGCTCTGTAACACATTTGGAAAGCATGCCATGTGGCTGTGAACCACCGCCTGTTTGCTTAAACAGGGGAAAACCCTAGGACAAGGCTTATACTTTTGAGTTTAGCTTGGAAGCGGAACTAAACTATAAAAAATAGTTCTGCTCACCAGTATCGTTTTAGATAGTACGGCTCACATGATTCGGTAAAGTTGCCTAACTTAGGTAAGAAACGAAATTAACATGCCAGTGCACTGGCATCTAAAACACTTTTCATATTTGGCACATTTCAGGCCCTTTTGGTCTATAATTAAAATCATGCAATACGGCTCGTACCAAAACTCTGACTGAAGATCACAAACCGCAAGTCTTGTTGAGATCATAGTGTTTAAAATCCTATTTTTTCGATTTAAACACACTTAGCTCTGTTAGCAAGTATTTCAACCGTGCAGTCATATCAAAATGTCACTATGTTGACGACTTTTTGTTTTGCTTATCAAAAATTGGAGACTTTAAATCGTAAAATAATAAAGTAAATGATGTAGTAGAAAGATTTACTCGGAAAACTCTTCCTACCTTGCTAATGTCTGTTGCCCGACTGAAGCAATGATCAGTAGATATGTCGAGCCTAAACATTTATAGTTAAGGATAGATAACCTTGTTTGTATTTCTCAAAGGTGCCATTGTTTACCAAATCAAAAAGAAACCCGATGAATATTAGCGGAACGCATAAGTTTAGTACAGAGTCAACCATCTTTGCAACAACTCACATACACAACAGGCATCCTTAAAACGTTTTTAATATATACCGCTGTAGAATTTTACACATCCTCTGAATTATTAAAATTGCTCGAAAGCACAAACTAGTATCATTTATGTATCAAATTAAGCACGTGATTGTTTATTCAGTAATTCAACAACGCGTGAAAATTCGTCACTCTTTCCGTGAATATTGTAAACCATACAGACGTCCATCGCAATTCCACAAATTGATTCAATAAGAATCAGTCCGAACCTAGTTAGCCACGTATTAATCGAAAATGTTAATAAAATGCGATCTTTTGCTGCTGATTTGTGATCCTTCTGGCGTTGTAATATACGGAGTACGTAAGTATTTGAATAATTATTATTATTGATGAATAGTTAATTTTTACGGGGAGGCCGTGATGTTTATGCGAAGTACGTGTGCGCCCTTGAATGGTTAATTACAACCTAAGCGGTGGACTGAGAGCAATGTTACGCAGTGCTTAGAAACATCTAAATATGCGAATGCAAACAACAGACAAATAAGTAAATATGTAAATTATTGTTGTTTCTTTTCAAGCATTATCTATTAAAGCAGGAAAGATAGGGGAATATCAAATCGGCCTCCTTTATATAAACCTTACGAATCTGAAGCTTGTGTATGTCGGTTTGATCATAAAGTAATATGATACTTCAGTGATGAGTCTCAAAGGTCTGTCACTCTTATGAAATCCTATGAGGTTGACAAACAGAATGATCTGGCAGCCACCAGAGAAAAATATTGAAAGTCTATATAAGACAGCTCCAAATACAAAATTACGTTGTATAAGCTTTGCAATGAAGTTTTTAAATTTTTGAAAAACAAAATCAATGATCGTATTATTTTGAGGATCTATACAATACCGCTAATGATTAGAAGAGCGATAATGACCTCTGTTCTTGCTCTTGCTGAGTGTGTCTTGGCAATAAAATAACGAACAAGAGCATCGTCACACCAAGGAAAACAAAGGCAATCATTAGTTAGTATTGTATTCTCTAATGCAATGAACAATTAAACAGATTAGTGAACAGAAGGTATCTTGTATGTAACAATAGGCTCGTTATAAAATTAGCTTTTTAGAAGTACAAACCACTCTAAATTATTGTACGATAAGTGCTTCAGTCTCCGTGGTGATTGCAATCGCATAGCATCTTGACGATCTGTATACAAGCGTATTTACATATGATCTTTTGAAAACGCTGTAGTCGTTTACTTGCTCTAGCTTATTTTATCTAATCCAATTGAAATGCATGTTGGCCAGACTTGTCCTGCGTCGGGCTAATGTGTTATATTTTACGGTCCTAAGGAAGACATACGTACACCTCGTCCTGTAATCTTTGCAGGTATGAGAATATCATACGATTTTTTTGTAGCTCAGCACGTGACATTCCTAGATGTAGAAAGCTAAAGAGCTTTCATCTAAATTAAGTAACTATTGTGGTATCAACTTGCAACCAACAACAACTTACTCAGTCTACGTTGTTGCCGTCGACGGAGGTATTGTTTTGGTAGCGTCGCCATCCGCCGCTACGTATGACCAAAGTGAAGATTGCACGCTGCTAATAAAAATGACACTAGCGAAAATAAATAGACTGTCCGCGAAACGGAATATAACAAAATATGCCTGCTAATCTGCGTGAACAATTGAACAAAACAATATGTGTTACGTGATGTCAAAGCTATTAGATTATTATGCAAGCCAAATTCCTTATCACCAGTCGTTGAATTTATGAGCGTCTGTCTAATCATACGAAAAAACCCAAAAAGGTCGTCATGAACTGAATAAACCAGATCGAAGGTAGGCCAGCACTGCATAATTTCTGCCAAAAAATTATGCCAGACATCTTAGTAATAATCTTGATTAGTAAACCTGCCACATATGACAATAGATCGATAATAGGATAGCCAACAAGTGGTTCTGTCTAAATGTCTAAACGGTATGAAATGAGAATGCGCGAAGTCGGAAAAGATCATTACTCCAAGAAAGCAACAGGGGCGTATGAATCAGCAATTACAATGCTAATCGCTAATTTAAAGTAGTTAGCCCGAATCAGGATTGATCCAAGCTTGCTAATAGATATAGTCCTGGAAGTTGCCTCCGATTTTAAAGCAAAAAAAGTTTACACGAAGTATATTTGTCAGCGGGTTTAATCGCACAAAATGTTAATCAAACAATTGTGCTGGGCGGAGTGATTTCTAAGTTATACATATATGGAAGCCACCGATGTAAAAACTCCAAAATACTTTGCATAAGAGATAAATTAACATCAAATATAGTTTCGGCACCTCTGGCGTTTTAGTTCGTTGAAAATTTTGTTTCATTTGTAAAATATCGACCTGCATACCTAAATTCTTAAATTAATACGAGTAATAAATACACTTCTATCCCAAAAAGTTAAGGATTACCCATATTTCAGGTAGCATTTTAAGGACGCCGTCAAGATTTGTAGATAACAACAAAGCTTATTCGCGTCTTTAAGTCTTCAAAACCTTTCTAAAAAGCAAAGGTGCCCTTTTTTTTTCTACAGTTACTAATGGTTATCAATCGAGTACTAGTCGTCTCATTAATTTTGCATGTACCAAATAAATTATACACACATTCGAAAATGGAGATGGCACAGCAGCAAAACGATCGTTTAATACCCCAGCGGATCAAATTCTTATCAACACACGTACTGTGAAAGATGATCGTTGACGATGGGCTGCTCAAGCTTAAATAATTCGTAAGCAATTTATAGCTCACAGAGACTAAATAATCAATATACTGTTTTTTTCTTATTTACAGATTTAAAAGTTGAAAAACATAAAATCGAACCCAACATAGCCTGTTCGTTCCTTCGTTTTTGATCATACAAGTAGACACCTAATATATGAGCTATCAGCTATGGTCTCCTACATTTGGACTTATCCCGCGGAGCAAAAATAAAGACTTGTAAACCCACAAGTTCGCTCTATGTATACTCTTTTTATCTATCTTTAAGGCTAAGCGATTGATAGAAACTGCAAATAGAATTCATGAAAACTCGACAAATCCGTATGGCTCTTGCGTATGGCAAATGCCAGTTGCATAAATTCGAAACCTCACGATTAGGAACATCGTAAAAAAACGTAGGTTAATTACGTAGCATTCGAGCATGCTATAGTACACATCTCTCACGCAGTAATATAAACCTGTGTGAGTAGGTGAA